CTCTCCTTTATTCATATTGCTTGGCTGCATGTTAACAGGTCACGGGACAGACAGCCACTTATGTTTCAAGAACAATATAAGAAAGTAGTTGATATAGCATTGTAGTACAACGTTCAAAATCGACCATCCATACATGAACCTCATAGCCATCTGTAAAAAAATAATCTGCTTCATAATTATAAAGCTGAGAGCTGGGATAAATCTGTCGATATAGAGTTTGGCTGTGGGCTGGACGACCAAAGAATCTGGGTTCATTTCTCGGCAGGATGAAAGAAATTTTCTCTCCTACACAGCGTTCAGACAGGCTCTGGGGCCCCTCCAACGGGCACTCAGGGGGAGAGTGTTTCCCTGGAGGTTAAACTGCCGAGGCGCGAAGCTGTCCAGTCATGTCGAGGTAGTGCGGAAGTTAATAATATGTGGAGATATGCCTTTATGGCGTATAGCTTAATTAAGCCCAGGGAAAATAATTTTACTTTACGTAAACGTGTTACAGAGGGTGCATATGTCTGTCACTTCTGGTGAAACACGTATCTTCTGTTCTACATTTTAGGATTACTGTCATGTCAATAGATAATTTTTATTGACAACTAATGCAGCAGTAACAGAATCTCATAATTAATACACTATTATAAGTCTGTACATTAAAAAGTGTGGGGAGCACGCGGTAGCGTAGTTGTTTGAGATACCATGCTACAAGCCGGGAGGTCGCGGATTCGATTCCCGATATGGTCATTGGATTTTTCAATTGACCTAATCCTTCCAGCCGCACTATGGCCCTGGAGTTGAATCAGTTTCTAACAGAAATGAGTACCAAGAATCTTCATGGGGGTAAAGGGCGGCCGGCGTGTAAGACTGACAACCTCACCGACATCTGTGAGCCAATTTTCTAGAAAATGTGGAAGCCTCGACGTCTCATAAGACTCCTGTGCCTGTTACAGGGATATTTTTATCTTTCTTTACCATTTATATTAAAAAGTGACTCAATTAATCTAGTGTAGGATTGTGTAACGGTAATGTTATAGACTTCTATTAGAGAGGTGCTTGGTTCGATTCGCAGCCGGAACACCGTCTACCACGACTGAGGGTTTACGTTGTCTTTTTTTTTATAATTCGCTTAGTGGGGGGTGGAGTCCAACTGGGTCCACTCGGCATGGCGGCCACTGATTGGCCTATTGTAGCCTGCCCCGGGTGATTATGATGATGGAAAATTTGGTGGAATGAAGATTGGCAGGGGAAATAGAAGTATTCGGAGAAAACCCGCCCCCAGCGCCACTTTGTCCATCACAAAGCCCACTTGACCAGACCCGGGATCGAACATGGGCCGCCGCGGTTGGAAGCCAGCGACTAACCGCTTGAGTTATGGCGCGGCCTTTCGTGGTCTTACTCGGTCCCTCCAGGCGAATCCTAGGACAGTACCTTGATTGGGCCACGACTACTGCCTTCACAACTAGATTCATTATTTAGAAATGCTATTATAATTCGACTCTGTGGAGCCTGAGACACTGTCAGATTCTAACAATACAGCAAAAACAAGACGGAACGTAACACGATGGTGGAATATAGGAGTCTTAATAATTGTGTTACATTTTAAAATGAACAAGTGAAGGAAATTAGGACGTAAAAATGAAAAATATTAACTGCCCTTCAAAGTATCCTCCAATAAGAACAAGGCGAAAGAGTGGTGGGTAAAGGCGGTCGATCTTAACAATTCTACTATTCATTTAGGGACAAACTGAGCTTCTATGTACCAATGGCAACTGTAACAATCGCCCGAAAATCACGTCGATGTTTTCATCTTCCACACTACACGCGTGAATTGCCTCGCCCTCTCTTCGTTGTAGGATACTGAGTTACATTTGTGAGATTTCTAACAACGATATTTATTAGTCATTTTAATTAATATTAATGATGTTAACTGTTTAGTTCAAGAACTTGGTTCTGTCGATTGAAAACCGGTCGTTAGTCTAATGTTTAATGTCAGTGTACCTATTGATACGCACGGAGAAATGAGCACCGCTGATGGTTGAATAATGAATTATTTCACAGGCGCATTCTTCCCCACTTGTGAAATTACACTCTTAAATGTCTGAGGTTCGAGGTTTTCAGAGCGGTGATTCAGACTGTGGTCTTCCGGACTGTGACACCGTGTAGTGTTGGACACAAGCGTTTCAACTGAATTTATTGCCTCCAGCATCAGGGTGGGAGTGAGGATGTGGTTAGGTCCTGTAGGTCATGACTGAAAACCTTTTCCGGACCATTACGAGGGTTCTGTCTCCTCTGCCCCCCCCCCGGGCCATGGATCTGAATGGCCATATTTCATGCTACATGCCTACATAATCTAACCACAACCGCATCCTACCCACTTAGAACATGAAGGAATCAGCGTGTTCCTACAAAACTACACGGTGAAAAACTTAGGACACTGCAGTCTGAACAACCTGTGCCGTGTAAACCTCAGACTTGTACGGGACTTTGTAGTCGTGGAGTCAGTTTGGTGGGTGATAAGGACCGTTTCGGAGTAAAATAACTCACCCATTTTCATGTTATTATAATCCAGGAGGCAATTTAAATGTGAACATACGTTCAGGATGAATATAAAATGTCTTTATTATTAACTATAGACAAAACTAAGTCGTGTTGCTTTTAGATTAGTAAAGAATCACCGGATAATCCTGCCTCATTTATTGAGGCTTGTAAATATATGTAATAGATTAGCCGTTAGACCTCAATGTGTAGGTCCCAGTGCTGGGTCCAACATGTGGGAATAGCAGACATAATGTTATGGAATGTGTCGTAAAAAGGTTACATAACCGTTAGATGTTCCAAATATATGTATAATATATATCTTGTGACGAATTTTTCTTGTACATGAAACAAAAACTTAACTCATTTATAAGTTTGGTGACATAGGACAATTTGTATAATACAACATACATAAAATAGCCATTAGAGATAATGCTTAAATCAATTTCTGTGTTGTATAACAATATATCTAGTATTAATGCCGATGTAACAAATTCTCTCTGTGTAAGATTTTCTCATGTTCATATCGATACCATTACAACATTATCGATATAAAGACTGTGCCTGCCATGGTCCATCATCCTCAGCCAGAGATGGACCATGGACCCTTATTGTTAAGAAAATCTGTATCAACTACTGTTTGTTGAGTAAAAAAAATGATAACAAAGAATGTATGTTCCTTACAGATCTTAAAATATATGTTATGTGTAATTTCCAAAGATAGATTATTTAGTTGTGAAACTTATTATAATAATATGCCGAATGAAAGAGCACAAAATGAAAAATAAATTTTGTCTTTATATTCTTACGGAATTTGTATCCTCGTTAAATGATATCTCTCTACATAACAAAATCGAAATTGTGTTACGTACGTTTGTTATAACACAGAGCGCCCAAGAAGAACGCGCCACTTCTAGCTAACACTAATTCTGCCGGCAGGCGGAACCAACCAGCTACACTTCCTGTCATCAAATGTCATCATTCTCACGAAAAATTATTATTATAAGAGTGTCTTGAAACAAGGGTACTAGATTACCGACCGGGCTGGCGTAGCAGTAAAACTGCATTCGGAGGTGCTCGGTTACATTCTAGGCTGGAGCGCCGGCTATCTTGCTAGATATATTTAGTGGTTTTCCTCGAAGCCTCCAACAAACACAAGGAATATTATCTCCATGCAAACGCCGGGTTTGTACCTCGACTAATTCAAGACCGCTTCCTTCCAGATATTTTCCAATTAATCATTAATCTATCATTCTAATATCTGCCTAGATACAGACAGCGTCCCATAATAATCCAACCCCAAATGTTCAGATTGAGAGGACACGAAATGAAACCCCTAGTATTCAGTAAATGTTATGGCATAAATGGGTTACAGCCTCAGGAAGCGTGTTATAAAACCTACCATTATGATGTACATTATTTCTAGAATAGAACTCGTTAACAGTTTAACGGAAGATTGCGAAAAGAAACAAAGTTCGTTGAAAAAACCTCACCTCAATAACCAGTAAGTTTCTGAAAAGAGAATTACGAGGGAGAGTCAGTAAATAGGTCACAAATTGAAGTAAAACAACTATAATGCACGTAATAGTTTTCCTACGTGTATCACTAGGTAGCAGCACAATCCAGTTTCATGACAGTCTGCGTAGCCGACGTGCATGCTCATGTTCATAGGCTGGTTTCAGTAGCCAAAATGGCGACTGCGCTTGAGGAGTATACTACAGAAGAGCAGCGTTCTGTTGTGCGATTTCTGTGGGCAAATGACTAAATGCAAAGGATATTCATAAAGACAATATTTCCTGTATATGGTGGGACGTGTTTATTGTGTAAAGAGATTCAGAACTGTGTGGCAAACATTTTGCTGATGACAAAGAATTTGAAAAGATACTATCCTGGAGTTCTCCTGGAGGAATTTGGAAAAAAACTGTCAGTATACACCGTGTCCCGGTCGAGATTCAAACCGAGCACCTCACAAATACGAATCAAGATGCAAGATTTGAGGCTTTCACGGCGGTGACTATGAAGAATGCCGTCTTCTGGGATGTGGCGCCGTGTAGNGCCACATCCCAGAAGACGGCATTCTATGAATAAAGATTATTACCGCTAAGCCAACCCGCCCGGTACGGTAGTAAGGGTAAAGGTAACATGTAATAAAATATTACAGATAAACAGTAGACACGTAGAAGCTGCTATGTTCTTATAAAACTTCTTTCTTCCTTATTAAAATCCATCATTTAAACAACGTTTAATACAACGTTTACTTAGGCCGCTGTCAGCGTCTGCACGGATTTTAATCCAATCGGTCGCTGCTGTGTGTTTACAGTGTGCTCAAGTTTCAGAACGTTAATGCCACACAAGCCCCCTTTGCTGATAGGAAGTTGCGTCAAGAGGAAACTGCGGACTGCCGATTCAATGTTGTGATACACGCGCAAAGCCGTTGCCAAGGAGACGCTGGCGTTGGTGTCGCAGTGCACCTTGGGTATATGCCTGCCAGGCGTCGTCGCCTTCCATATTTACGTAGGCTCTCTGATCGTTAACGAGCCGTTTCGACCAACAGAACAGCTGTTTGAAGAGAGAAACTTCGTCTTTGTGTGTGGAAGGTAGGTAGACAAATGTAAGAATCTCTTAATGGCGAATTACGTTAGAATTGCATACAACTTTTTGAGCTGTTGGTTTCCAATACTATTCATCTAAAAATATAAAGAAATCCAGAACTTTCCAGTGACGTAATCACTAATTCGTAAGAAAGATTGATAGGAAAGAAGACTGTTATTATAACGCTGTGTCTAGTTGTTACGTATGAAGAGCAAGATATTAATGTTACGATGTGTATAAATGTACGGCTTTACTGTTTAAAATTGTAACTGAAGTCCGTGTATTGTTTTGAGTGCATATATGATGCAAGATGGCGGTAAGGGGTGTTACATGGAAGTTTCAAACGAAAGTTCGCGAAATGCAGAACATACCAAATATTCAAATCGTGAACATCGGAAAGGGGAACCATCCTTGCATCTTCCGCCGCCTGGAGTTTTGCAGTAAATTAAACAGAAAATATGCCACGAGGGAGTCCGTAAATAGGTCACAAATGGATATAAAACGTAAAACGTGTGATATTCGAACCAGGAAAAAATATTTATTTCTTGACATATTGTCCACCAACGTTGATACACTCGTCCCATCTCTTTACCAGTGAGTCGAAACCTGCAGCATAGAAGTTATTTGACTGTTATCTCAGCCACTTCCGCAACTGGTCGGGCATCATCTGCGACTTTCGAACGTTCTTGAGAGAATATCTCCACTCACTTGTGAATAGCTTTAAGCGAAAAACACTTCCCAACATAAACAGGAAATATTTTTATGAACATCCTTTGCATTGTGGCCTTTTGTCAAAAAAAAAAACATAGCATAACACTGCTCTTCGGTAGTTCACTCATCAAGCACGGTCGCCATTTTGACTACTGAAACCAACCTCTGAACAGGAGTATGCGCGTCTGTTACCTAGACTGTCACAAAGCTGGACTGTGCTACTACCTAGTGATACACATAGAAAACCTATTATATCCATTACAGCTGTTTTACTTCAATTTGTGACTTATTTACTGATCCCCCTTCGTACCAAATTTCAGGTTATATTTTTTCCTTAATACTCTTGGACTCCATCAAAAAGCATACGCTTTTTATCTGCCGCTCTTGGAAACCAATACGTTCTGGGGAATAACTAATCGCCCACTCTCTACTGATACTAAGCGTATATGGGCCGCACAGAAAACAACGCGTCCAACAGTTCTTCTTCGTTTCAAATATTCGTTGCCGCGGGAACGTGTTTACCAAACAGTTGCCTGGCTTCTGTAATGGGTATACATATTCAGACACGCAGACTGATGGGAGGAATTTATGAAGTGCGTCACTGAGATGGATCCAGCTGCCTTGATATACATACCAAGATTCACAAAGATTAGTTCAGGCATTCAAGAGTTGATATGGGGGATACAGATAGCAAGGTAATCTCATAAGCCTACTTTCCTTAATTTTTCAGACAAAGGAAAGTAGGCGAAAGAAAAGGAAATCCTTGGAGACGCTTACGTTTTGAACCTGATATCAGTCTGAAACCTACTTCGCATATGCAACACAATATTGCATGGAGCCGGTGAGGCGGGAAGTTTCTTTCGAGGCTGTTCACTGAATAAAAGAGATACATGACGTTTAGGAAAGTGGATCTGTGTTCGTCATCAGGTAGCAGGAAAGGGTAATATTACCTGGAAAAGAAGACATATCCGGCATCCGAAACATCGTATAGGATTTACATTTCTTCGTCCACACACTACTACCTTCCGAGACGTGACTCCGTGAAATGTGGTAGAGCATTACCAACATTTCGAAGGAAAGTGATGCCTCCAGATTCTGGCATGTAGCGCCGTACAGTCTAGTAGATTGTTACTAGTTGTAAAGTTGTCCTTAATTAAGCATCACATTATGAAATCATCTAGGGGAGTTCGTCACTAGCTGGAGGTGAGTAGTCAACTTCACGCCCCGGCCGCTTTACCCCCGAGGAAATCGCACCGGTACCCATTGGATAGGAGGTTGGGTGGACCCCAGTGCTGGTCTGGACGCTATGATGTTTGGCTCTGCCGGGAATCAAACCCGGGCCGTAAAGCCCGTAGCCCGTCTAATATTCAATTTTCTCTTCAAGAAATAGAGAGTGAAGTTGTTGGATGAATTCACGTGGCGTGGGCTACATTACAATGGCTGACTCTTGTGAGCGCTTTAATCAACTTGCGGGTTCCGTTAAAGGTAGAGAATTTGACGAGCTGAATGACTATTAGCTTCACAGTAAGGACTTTTGCTCCAAGGAGTTTCTCAAATACTATTAATTATGACATATTACACTTCAATTTCTCTACCTAAATTGACCATATTCTTATATATACTGTGTCCAAAATATCACTGAATATGCATCATCAGTTAATGAAATAATCCCAATAAAATGATAGTGATTTAAATCATTACGTCATCATTATAAAGGTGCTATGCTCTGTTTCAAGCATGCGATGGGAAACAAAACTGTCGTACGGCAGATCTTTGTTGAAATCATAGAGAATTCAACCATTAGTTTGTCTGCTCAAGGTATGACGTACCGTCAAAAATGCTTTCGACAGAGAATAGTAATTTCGCGTATATACGTTTACATTACGTGTTTCTGTTCCCGAAGGAAATGTCACTTCCATTCTATATAAACACTACGGAGAAACAGCTTTATCGCCGGTAAGACATGGAAACTAAACATAAGAGGTTTCTTTTGGGATTTAATAAACATCAGCATCTGTTCATGAACCACGATGGTTCTGTAGGCAAGGAGATTTCCTATGGACCCGACGAGTTGGAGCTAGTTCCCCCTGGAGAGACAGAAACATTTCTAGTGCGTACTGTGTTTCCTGTGAGGTACGAAACTCCCTACAAGTCGTACGAGGCAACGAAAAGCGCTCCTAATGTCTGGAGGTATAACCGGGCCACCCTGTTCCTGGGGGATATAAATACGGGAACAAGGATCGGATTGCTGGGAAGGAACACGTGACTCAAAGTTTAAGGATGATGTCCTACGGGAAGGACGGTTAGTATCGGAAGTGCTGGCGAGGTCGGGCGGCTGAAAATGCAGAGAATGGCTCAGTATCCCTGTCACAAGAGGACTAGAATAGTTCTTATCTTCATGAGTATACAGAGTAAGGAGAATCTTCACTTGTCCGAAAAGCGTCAGTCCAAGATACAAGACGCAACGTGTTCCGAGCATATTGGACAAGGAACACAGCAGCACCACTGGGCAGATAACGCACAGAACGGCACACAACGAACAATTAACTATTAGTTCAGTTAGTTAGTGTGGTAGTTCGGATGTGTTTCATATTGTCACGTAGTATGAGTGACTCTCGACGAAGGTTTGGGTTGGATATTGGATTTATTGGCAACTTTAACACACCACCCGTAACTACACTTAATTATAGCGCCATCGTTAATTTCCACACTTTACAAATAACTACAGCACACGCTAAGTCTTTTCCAGCCTGCAGTGTCTTCACTAGATGTTTCCTGGTAACGGCTTTAACAACTGCCCTTCCCCTACTTCGGTGCTCAAGTCCTCCCTGAACGGAGACTCCCAACTGCCCGTACTTCAAAGTCAAAGTCAAAGTCAGAGTTACTTTACGACTCGCGGATTATCGCCAATCAGTTCAGCTGCGTCAAGGCACTTGAGACTTCGACCAGAGGCCTCTTTTGTTTTTTCAACTGAGCCCTTCTGACGAGATGGTTTGTCAATTGTACTCCCCATAACCCATTTGCAAAGACCGAGTAGAAAAACACCGTTTCCAACAGTGCCGCTATTGTCGCATGCGTATCCGTCGCAGCTGGAATGTTTATTGAGCCGTTCCCTAGCAGCGGACATCTATTCCGTTGCCTGCTTCGCGGTCGTTGCCTAGAAACGAATATTGATTCAGAGCCGTTCGCTAGCAACTGTTGTTGCTCTTGCTCCACATTTCTTGCCTTGTATGCCATAATACTTAGCCCTCTCCTTCACGTAAAGCCAGTATCGATTGTATCATACACCCTGTACATTCTGGAACTACGAACAGAATGTTCATGTCTATGAATTGTTCATTTGAAACTTCCAAGGTAATGGAAACTCCGTAGCGCGAATGTACGTAGACAAAGAAGAACTTGAATGTAAAGGCATTTCATGGCGCCAGGCACATAGCCCTTCCTGTTACATTCCTCTATGATGTCTGTCCAAGTATAATTAGAATGATTATGTCAAGGAGGATGAGGTGGGCAGGGCATGTAGCACGAATGAGAGGAGGCATGCATATAGAATATTGATGCTGGGAAATTCTTGAGTAACTGCAGAATTGGCGGCTGCTTCAGAAGGGCTCAGCTCAATGAGTAAGTAAGTAAGCTAGAGGGAAAGAGACCACTGGGAAGACCAAGGCGTAGGTGAGTGGACAATATTAAAATTGATCTTAGAGAGATGGGATGGCATGGATTGGATTGATCTGGCTCAGGATAGGGACCGATGGAAGGCTTTTGTGAACACGGTAACGAACTTTCGGGTTCCATAAAATGCTTGTAAATTCTTGAGTAGCTTCAGAATTGGCGGCTCCTCAAGAAGGGCTCAGCTCCATGAGTAAGTAAGCAAGTAAGTAAATGATGTCTGTCCGATTCATAGGCAACATCGTTAACAAATAAACAAACAAACAGATGATATCGTGATTAGAACTAATTTCGTTATTAGTTCTGTACTTAATAGTATCTGTATTCATTGCGAGAGACAATGAAGCCGGTAGCCTTTGTTTCGGGGTTTATAATGAACAGTACCGGATGGATTTGTGGTTGTTATTAGGTTGGCACCAGAAGACTAGACCGCGCTCGACAATATGCTACATTAAAAGCACTTTATAGACGTACATAACACTTCAGAGTGGAGCACGTAAATTTTAATTGAACATTCATGACATTCTATGAAGATAATAAATCAAAAAGTTGAAAAAAAAAAACGCTTAGTTTTAAATAGCAACATCACATTACGGATGTGTATACAGTGTGGCTAAATTGGATA